GCACAATGGTGGTTACCAGGGGCTGAGGGAGAGGAAAATGGGGAGTTATTGCTTGATGGGTATAGAATCTCAGCTTCTGAATATACTTGGCATTACTAAACTGGACGCTTTAAAACGGTTAAGGACTTCCCTGCAGGCAGTGCTTCCACTGCAGGGAGCAGAGGTCCGATCCCTGGTCGAACTAAGCTCCCACATGCCACACAGTGTGGCCAAAAAAATTAATTTAAAAAATTTTTAAATAAAATTAAGATAATAAGTGTTAAGTATTTTACCACAATTTTTAAAAATACATATAGCAAAAGCAATAATAACGTAATTAAAATAGCATAATATTTAACACAAAAGAAGACATAAGGGACGAGAAAATGGACAAAAATAACTACATGAAATTTGAAAGGACTGAACACACCAGTCAAGAGACAGGGACTGCTGGGCTTGCGGGCGGGGGTCCACGGAGCTGCAAAGAGTCGGACAAGACGGAGCAACGGACACTTTCACCCGACAGGTTAACGCTTTAACCATTATGATTTTTCCTCTTGGTCTCCATGATGTTCATGTTTTTTCAATTGTTAATGTAGCCAGTCCATCCTGTTTATATGAATCAGGGTTTTCTCTACCTTTAACCTTATTTGTCTCTGAATCTAAAGTATGTTTCTTGTGGACCATGTAGAGTTTAGTTATTTTGTATCCAGTCTGACAGTCCCTGTCTTTTGATTGGCATGTTTAGTCTTTTCAAACTTAATGTAGTTATTGCTAAGTTTTATGTCCAGTTTTCCCTCAAATGTATACACGCTAAATTAGAGTCCCAAAATACATATAGCAAAAATTAACAGAGGTAAATGAAAAAATAGACAATTCAACAATAACAGATTCCTGTATCAATAACTTCCATCCTAAGAAATTGGGGAAGAAAGGAGAACAAACTGAACCCAAAGTAAGCAGAATGAACAAAAAATAAAGATCAGAGTGATAACTAATGAGACACAACAAAAAGAGAAACATTAATAAAATCAAAAGCTAGTGCTTTGAAAAGATTTTTTAAATTGACAAACAAGAAGAGAGAAGACAAAATTTCCAGATTCAGAAATGAAACAGGAGATATTGCTAGTGACCCTATGGAAATTAAGATGATTATAAAGGAATTGTATAAGCCTTTCTCTGTCAACAAATTAGACAACTTAAATGAACAGTCCTAGAAAGAAACAATTTACCAAAACTGACTTAATACACAAAGTTTGACCTTTGTTTATAGACCTATAACAGGTTAAAAAATAAAAAAACAACTAAATTAGTAATTAAAAATCTCACAAAGAAAAGCTCAGTCTTAGAAGGTCTCACTGGTAAATTTGCTATCTAATATTTTAGAGAAGAAATACCAATCTTTCACAAATGTTTTTAAAAGAAGATAGAACATTTTCCAATTCATTCTAGAGGCCAGCATTACCCTGAAATCAAAGCCAACAAAGGCATCACAAGAGAGGAGAACTAAAAAAAAAAAAAGAGGGGGGAACTACAGACAAATATGTCTCATGATGTAAGACACAAAAAATATGTCTCACGATGTTAAGACACAAAAATCCTTAGCAAATATTAGCTAGTTGAATCCAGCAATATATTTCAAAAAATTATACACCATAGCCAGGTGAGATCTGTCCCAGGAGTGCAAAGTGTGTGTCTCAGGAGTGCAAACATACAAATGAATTGATGTAATACATCATATTAAAAGTACAAAACCATACTAAACCATATTAAAAGTACAAAGGACAAAAACCACATGACCATCTCAACAGATGCAGAAAAAGCATTTCATAAAATCCAACACCCATTCCAGATAAAAACTGTCTACAAACTGAAGAGAAAGGGATTTCCTCAACCTGATAAAGGACATCTATTATAAAGAAAAAAACAAAACACCTCAACTAATGTCAAACTTAATGGCGAAAGACTAAATGTTTTTATTCCTAAGATCAGGAACAAGGCAAAAATGTCAACTCTTGCCACTTCTATTCAGCATAGTTTTAGAGGTTCTGGCCAGTGAAACAGGCTAAATAAATGAAAATTTAAGTCTTATATATTGGAAAGAAAGATTAAAACTGTCTTTTTTCACAGATAAATGATCCTCTGAGGAATCTATTTTTAGAAACTAGAACTAATAAGCAAATTCAACAAAGTCACAGGGAACAAGATCACTAAACAACCACCAGAAAAATGAATGGCATTTCTATATACTAGCTAGGAACAATTCAAAAATGAAATTAAGGAAACATTTCATTGACAAAATCTTCGAAAACAATAAAGTACTTCGGAATAAATCTGACAAAAGAACTGCAAGGTTCGTACACTGAAAATTATAAAACACTGCTGAGAAACACTGAATAGAAGTAAATGAGATATTCCATGTTCATGAATTGGAAGACAACTTTGCTACAATGTCATGTCTCCCTAAATTGATCTATAGACTCAATGTAATCCCTATCAAAATCCCAGCAAGCATTGTTAGAGAAGTTAACAAATTTATCCCAAAATGTATATGGAAATACAATAGACACAGAATAGCCACAAGATTTTGGTAAAAATGTGAACTTAAACTACCCAATTATAAAAAACTTTCACTAGTATAAAAACAGGCAAATAGAATGGAACAAAATTAAGAGTCTGGAAATAAATCCTCACATTATGGTTATTTGATTTTCTACAAATGAGTTAAGGCAATTCAAAGAGGGGAAAAATAATCTTTTCAACAAATGATTCTGGGATAATTAGATATGCACATGCAAAATTTTATTTTTAGACCCTCACATCATATGCAAAAATTAACTCATAATGGATTATAGGCCTAAATGTAAGAGTGAAAACTGTAAAACTTCTGGAGGATAATATAGAAAAATCTTTGGGGCCTTGGGTCCAGTAAAGATTTCTTAAATCTGACACCAAAAACAATCCATAAAAGAAAAAAACTGATATATTAAAACATCAAAATTTTTAAATGTTTGTGATTCAAAAGACAGCATTAAGAACATGCAAAGGCTAGCTACAGACTGGGGAAAATATTTGCAAATCATTTTCTGATGGGGATCTGTATGCAGAATATATAAAGAATTCTTATGATGCAATAAGATAAGCAACTCAATTAAAATGAGCAAAAGACCTGAATAGACACGTCACCAAAGAAGGTAAATATATGAATAAAAAGCAGAGAAGTCACTTTGCCGACAAAGGTCTGTATAGTCAAAGCTATGGTTTTTACCAGTAATCATGTACACCTGTGAGAGCTGGACCTTGAAGAAGGCTGAGCACCAAAGAGTTGATGCTTTCAAACTGTGGTGCAGGAGGAGACTCTCGAGAGTCCCTTGGACTGAAAGGAGGTCCAACCAGTCCATCCTAAAGGAAATCAGTCCTGAATATTCATTGGAAGACTGATGCTGAAGTTTCAATACTTTGGCCACCTGATGCAAAGAGCTGAGTGATTAGAAAGGCTTTGATGCTGGGAAAGACTGAAGGCAGGAGGAGCAGGGGATGGCCTAGGATGAGATGGTTAAACAGCGTCACCGACTCACAACGGACGCGAATCTGAGCAAACACGGGGCGATGGTAAATGGCAGGGAAGCCGGGTGTGCTGCCGTCCATGGGGTGGCAAAGAGTCAGACACGACTTGGCAACTGAACCCAAACAACAATAAACACATGAAAAGCAATTCAGCAGTCACTAGGGAAATAGAAATTAAAGCCACAGTGAGAGCCCACGGCTCAGTAGAACAGCTTTACTCATAACGCAGACGATAGAAGTGAAGCTGTGGAGCGACTGGAACTCTCACACGGCTGGTGGGAGTATAAAGTAGCACAGTCACCGTGGAAAACAGTTTGGCGGTTTCTCAAAAAGGCTCATGTAAACTCACCACATGACCCAGCAATTCCACACCTAGGTATCCAGCCAAGAGAAATGAAAACACGTTACACAAAGACTTGTGATTGTTTATGTCAGTTTTACACCTAACGGCCCAAGTCTGGAAACAACCCCGAATGGTCATCAGTAGGCAAAGAGGTCAGCAAAATGTGGTGCCTGTCTGTGATAAAAAGAATCAAACCACCCACATATGCCCTGATGTGGATGCACCTTAAGCTCAGTGAAAGAAGCCGGACACAAAGACTGCATAGTGTGTGATCCTATTTATACGAAACATTCAGAAAAGATAAATCTGTTGCTACAGAAAGCAATGCAGTCATTGCCTTGGGCAGGGAAGCGATTAAGGATCGACTGCAAACCAGCACAGAGCTGTTTGTTAGGGTGATGAAATGTTCTAAAATGGATAGAGTGTGTTGATAGTAGCACAGCTTGCCAAACCTACCAAAAATCCCCCAGTTGCACCTTCATAATGAGTGGATTTTATGGCATGTAAATTACACCTCAATATCAAAGCTGCAAAAAAACTGCATCCAGCAAGGGGCTGGGGTGCACTAACCTTCCTTACCACCAACACCCAACAGTCTGTCCTCCTGCCTCTGCTGTTTTTACTAACTCCTCCTCCCGACGCTGAGACTTCCCAGGGAGCCGTTTAAGTCAGCATCACCTGTGCACTGACCATCTTCCTGTTCGTTTTCCCACAGGACTCAGATCCTCCACGTGCAGAGCTGTGTCCTCGAGCAAGGCTTGTTGAGAGAGAAACAGGCCCACCTGCGTGTGAGGTGCCTTCTGACGGCCCTGGTGATCTCAAACAAAAATCTGGTGATCTCAAAACAAAGTGTAAACTTCAATTCGGCAGCTAAGCATAGAGACCAACCCTGGCGCCTAAGTTAATCGAGTTACAGAATGATCTTTTTAGGATCATTTTGCAGCTATGACCCATTTTATTACTACTTTTCCTCCGAACCTGTTCTGGTCTGCCACCCTCTGATCTCGCCCAGCCACACCCTGCCTGCGTCTGAGAAGGCTCTGCGGGGACCTGGGGAGGGGCTCCTAGTCTGCAGGCAGCACTGGCCGCTGCAACACCTGGTACGGCTCACTTCCCGAGAAGCAGGCAGAGTCCTGCGCTTTGTGACCTTGAGTCCCAGCAGGGCCCCGGGTGATGCTCTTGCCCACGGCCGCAGCCCTGCTCCTGGCCCAGACTGAGCTGATTGACTCGGCACCTGACGGGCATGTAAACAGGATTACGTCACAGGTATTCCCCCTGGCCCAGACGCTGGCTGAGTGGTGGGGAGACCCTGAAGAGGGGGATTCAGATGAGGCTGGCCTTCAAGGAGCCCCTCCGGCGTCAGAGCCAGGGGTGAGGGGACTTCACACCTAACGGTGCTCACAAGCACAGAGCAGGTGCAGCCACTGCCTGCCCGGGGCTCAGGGTCTCCGACCCCCCGCGAGCAGCCCTGCCTGGAGGGAAGGTGCCCCGGAAGCTGACCAGCTAGCCCTGAGGGCCATAGACACCGTCTCCACCGCCTTACCCAAACGCGCACGTACAAAAGTCAAGCCCCCAAACCACTTCTAGGCACACACCGGAGGCAGAAACCTCTCAACTCCAGCCTTGCATCTGAGTCCCGACCCTAAAATATCTGCATATTAAACGACCAAGGACAGTTAAGCTTTCAAAGGGAGAAGATCAAAGTGCTGTCATCTTTGAATTTAATCCTTTTGTTGCATCAGTGGTCTTAAGAGGGATGAGAGATCAAAATAAAAATGGAAACAAACTATATCTTTGTGGCTGTTGTGTTTTAGTCTTTTTTTCCCTCAATTTGGGCCACAAAATAGGTCAGCTCCATTACTGATCAGCCTTCCCACAAATATTTAAAACAAATTGAATTGCACACCCAATACCCATCACAATTACACCAGGCACAATAACTAAATTAGCAATTCAACAAAATAATTGGAAACGCGATTCTCTCTATCCCACCAGTCTCCCTCGAGGGTTTAGCCGATCTATGGGGGAAAACTCAGCTTTCCTAATTCTGGAGCTAATTAGAGACACACTTGTAAATGAAGTTGTTTGTCTTAAAGTTGAAATTCTCTTCTGGGGGTGGGGGAGAGGGAAGGAGACGGAGGAAAGTCCTTTCTGTCTGGAGCAAGTGGATAAACAGGTATCAGACACACGCCTGGGTTCTCAGTAGCAGCCCTGTCTGTTAATAAAGCATCACCATTGCGCCATCACTTATCTGATCAGGAACGACTGCGGTTAACAGCCGGTCTGGCCAAGAGGGGCGCACCTTTTAAAGGCCCTGGAGACAGTTCCTGGGGTGGGGCTACACAGTGCTGCTTTTAGGGACCCACAAGGTAAGGGTCAGTGAGGGCGCCAGCTACCCCTCACACCTCTCCACTGGGGTCCGAAGAACCAAAGGCTCAACTCCCAGGAAGCCAAGGGGAGGCTCCCATGCTAAGTAACCGTCCCCCGCGCCCCCCCGACCACGGAGGGGGCGCCAGGACCAGGGCCCAGGGCCTGCGAGGTTGCGCCGCCCACCGGCCAGGGCCGATGCTCTGCCTCGGCCCGCTTGCTCAGGCCGCTCCTGGAGAAGCAATCTCCAGGTTTCAATTAAGCTGTCCTTGGCCTCTTTTTGTTCCTTCAGGAAGGAACATCTCGGCTTAATTATATAACCCAGAACTAGGCCTCGCGTCCCTCCCCTCTCACCCGCCTCCGCGAGCATCAGGCTGTGACCTTAAAACTCCGCCTCTCCGCGGGGCTGCGCCAGCTCCGGGCGGCGCGGCCGGGGACCCCCGCCTCCCCTTCCCCAGCCCGCACCCCTGGGAACGAGGGCCTCACCTCACCTGCAAGGTCGGGAGATGAAACGGTGGCCCCGTTTCATCAACACGGGGGCCCAAGAAGCCTCGCTCCAAGACGCGCCCGCAGCATCCCGGCGCCCGGGCCACCAGAGCGCTAAGGGAATTCAAGAAGCACCTGCTCCCGCCGCTCATCTCCCCGAACAATATGAAATCCAAGTTATCACACCGAAAGTACCCCGTATTAGCCGCGCATTTAGCTCCTGGAACAAAGTGCCCTGCGCTACAACTTTAAAGGACACGAGAGTCAAACTGGTGAATAATTTTCTGGCCTCAGGGAGCCGGCTCCCGGCCTAAAACCCTCAGGAGAGCGGGGTAGGTTCGTCCACACGCTCCCCAGCCGCCCGCGGCCACCACGGCGGGAGACCCCTGCTTCGCCAGACACGGGGTCACCCTCCCGGGCCTGAAGCGGGGCCTCCAGACGGCAGCAGCTCTTGGTGCCCCGTCTGTTACCACTTCCCTTGGCTCCAGCTTTGGCGTCTGTTAGGACTCGTGAAGGGCCTCCCAGGTGGGCCAGTGGTAAAGAACCCGCCTGCCCCGTGCAGGAGACTTAAGAGCCGCTGGTTCGATCCCTGGGTCGGGAAGATCCCCTGGAGGAGGTCATGCAACCCATTCCAGGATTCTTGCCTGGAGAATCCCACAGACAGAGGAGCCTGGTGGGCTGCAGTCCATGGGGTCGCACAGAGTCGGACACGACTGAAGCGGCTTAGCACACGTGCACGTGAAAGGTCGGGAAATACCCGTATAGACCTGATCTCCCACCAGTCACACGGCAAGGCCTCAAAGGCCACACGTGGCGAGGACTACTGATGTTTCTCCCATCCTCCCAGGAGGCGCAGCTGGATGGCTGTGGTCTAGACGCTCTGGATGTTCTCGGGGTTGGAAGAGGCCCCCCAGGACTCCGCAGAAGAGAGCAGAAGGCAAACCGGCCACGAGGAAGCAGGAGCCACACGGAGCTGGGAGGCGCCCTTGCCGGGGAGGCGGAAGCCAGCGAGTCACGGCGCTTGGTGAGCAGCATCAGCCTCACACGCACACCGATGCCCGGGTGCCCTGAGCCCGCACTTTCAGAGGCGCAGGCGGATGTTTGTGCCCCAAGCGCCAGTGCCCATGAGCCCCAGGGCAGCTGCCCTCCTGCCAGGCTGAGCTCTCATCTTGGAGGACCGGAGCCCCGGGAAAGTGACGCTGGCCTGGAAAGGGGCCGGAGCTCCACCATTAATAGAAGCAAGTACAGCACAGCTAAGGGGTCCGATCAGACTGAAGTTAGAGGTTACAGGACTCACTGGACAGAGAGGGAGGACAGAGCCCCATTGGGGACCAGGTCACCTGTCCAGACAGCCCTCCGCTACCATAAACGTCCCCCAGAGCCTGGCACACAGCAAGAAGTCAACACCTACCTGGATGTGTGGAGGGAAAAACATTCCTGCATCCGTGCTAGACCCAAGTCACCAAGACACCTTTCCATGGAAATAGCTGCCTGAGGACAAGGCGTCCTCAGGAACCAGGGTGGCTGACCCCCATATAGTGAGGAGGGCCCCCTGCCCCACCGCAGGCCCAGAGGTCAACAGGCTTCCTCCAGGTTGCACCCTAGCAGGTTTGATTTCTGATCCAAGGTTCTTCCCACTCGGCCACCTTCTGTTCATAATCTCTCCTTGACACAGAAGGTCACACCAGCCCCTTCCAGGACGAACTCTGTGCCCCTAAGCCTATGTGAGAACCGAGGCACACACCCCTCAACAGCCGGGGAGATCAGGCGGCAGAAGCAGCCAGCACCACGGGGCGGGGAGCCTGCTGGCCCAGGGCACTCCGGCTCATTTCCAGCCCCGCCATAAAGAGGCAGACGTGGTGGGCGGAGGCTGGGCGGGAATCTTTATGTGTTACTGGTCCTGCTGGGTACCTTAGATTCCTTTTCCTCCCTATCAGTAATCTGGGATTGTTTTTTTTTTTTTCTCTCTCTCTCTCCATTCTTTTAAATTTTCTTTCCTGAGAATTTAGTGTCCTTGACCTCAACAAATGAACTGAGAACCTTGGACCAAGGAAATAAACCGAGCAAACTTCTCAGGAATATAAATGCCACTGAGGCGACGACTTTATTGGCAGACCCCACATGATGGGCAAGAAGGGGCCGGTAAAGGAAATCTATAGACAGACAAGAAAAACAAAAGTTAGATAAGGCATACTCACTCGGCATTTACACCATCCCTCTCCTCTCCAGACAAGGAGCAGGTAATGAGGGCTTCATCAACACAGCTGTTGAACAAATTGAATATATGCAAGTCAGCAGGGTGATATGGATCCCCAGGACTTAAGGATTAGTTAATGAACTTGCCAAATTACTGGCAATTATTTTTGAAATGTTATGAAGAAAGAGAAAGGAAAAAAAGAGAAAGTGAGACAGATAAGATTTAAACAGAAAGAATGACCAAGGCAAGTTCAGCTTAATTCCGGGCACAACTGTCCCCCAAGTACAAACACACCCACACACACGAATTAAAAATACAAACTCAGATGCAGAACACAAAGTTCATTCACTTTAGACAAGGCTCACTGCTTGTACATGCCTTTCTTGAACGCCAAGTGCAGCCCATCAGGATGTCAGGAGAGGGGAGCCATCTGCCCTGGCACCGAACACCCACACTTCTGTAGCTGGAACCTCAGGCTGCCCCATGACACCCTTCGCCTCTGAGGGGTCGCTGCATGACCTGTGAGCTGGGCCCAGGGAGGTACGGATCTTGGTGTCTCACGCGCACGGTGCCCACACCTTGGTGGGGAAGGTTTGGATCCACTGAGCCTCTGTCAGCTCCTTGTGGATGAAATGGTAAGAGGCAAAGAGGCAGTAATCCTGGACAAGTCGTATGTGGAGACCCGGAAACTCAACCACTGAAAGGAAGCGACTTTCCTAAACTGGAGACGCAGAATTTGTTGCTTAACTTGTCGGAACTGACGTTCTCGGGTGTTCTGTGCGCTCTCGGGGTTCCCGAACGATGCTCAACAAGCGTTCTTGGCCGGTGACCATGGAGAGTCTGGCAACACCCTTAAGGCAGTGTGGGGAGGAACACAAATGCACACAAGGCAAGGAAAACACACCAGAGACCCCCGGGATGAAAGCGCTGAAGGTAGCAAGAGCAGGAAGCCAGTGGGGAGACGGGGGAGCAGCGTGCGTGTGATCCTGCGGCCAGAAAACAGACATAGGGCCGGGGAGGAAGAGGCTAGTGTCACTTCCTATTTATCCACCATCTTTCACTGGAGCATCTCAGAGCTCATGACAGGCAGCAGCTCTTTAATCCTCCCCGAGGAGGACGCTGATTTCAAGGGCTCCCTGGGGAGCAAGAAATAAACCCCAGGATCAGAGTCCAGGGCCAACCTCCTCTCTGCCTCTCAACACCCTTCACTGCAGACAGCCCAGCCTACAGCAGGTGAGAAGCGGGTGGGCCCTAGAACAAGCCTCTGTCAGAGCCTTCAAAGTATTTGGACTCATTCACTTGGTTCATTTTACTCCCCAAGATCCATGCCAAGAAAAACAGTAATTTCAAAAGACAACAAAGAAGCTTTATGCAGGAATAGTCTCCTGAAACAGTATTCATAATAGCAAACAACTGTAACAGTTTAAGTGTTCAATAAGAGGGGGATTTGGTTTAGTAGGCAAAGACTGATGGAATTATTAGTTAGCAATTAAAATACTTCAGGGAGATCTTTAGAAACGTGGGAACAACCTTCTCTTGTACTACCACTATTACAACGCAGAACGCAGCCTACGGGTGGAGGGGGACACAGGCACCGGCACTTTGTTTTTGCTGTTTTTGAAAGGGTAACATTTCAAACAGTCCAGAAGGACAGACTAGTCTTCCACCTGCACTGCTCAATGGAACGTGCCCCCCCTCCCCCATCCCGAGAGGAGGGACTGGGTACCACAGCATCTACATACAGACGAGGGTGATGAAGGAACACAGGTTAACAACGAGAAGGGGATCTTTTTGAGTGGAGGGATAATTTCTGTTGTTGTTCAGTCACTAAGTCATGTCTTGCGACCCCTTGGACTGTAGCACGCCAGGCTTCCCTGTCCTTCAGTATCTCCCAAAGTTTGCTCAAACTCATGTCCATTGAGTCGGTGATGCCATCCAACCATCTCATCCTCTGTCGCCCCCTTCTCATTTTGCCTTCAATCTTTCCCAGCATCAGGGTCTTTTCCAAAGAGTTGGCTCTTTGCATCAGGTGACCAAAGTATGGGATTATAGACAAATCTTATCTTCATTTGTTCCTTCCACGTTTCTGTAATTTTGACGTGAAATAAACCAAGACAAGAGAGCAGCCTTATCTTCTCCAACCTGAAGGGGAAAAGCCACGGCCTGCTTATGGCCCCATGAGGAACCCTGGGCCGGGTGGGCGCTGGGGAATCCTTGCGGCTCTGATGGTGTCTTCAGCGGCTGTGGCTTAGGAGGGCCGTGCAAGGAGGAGTCAAAACGGATGAAAAGGAAATAAGCAAACTTCACACAAAAGGGAGAAATGCTTCAGTCAACACTGAAAAAGGGCCCCGGATTGGAACTCTTTGATAATGGTTCTCGACTCATTTCAAAATCAGCATTAGCCACCAAAATGTAAAGTATTAGTTTTATTAAAATGCAAATCAATCAACTAATCTTTCTGGTAACAGTTACTGAATTGCAGTATCCGTGTCAATTAAAATAGTATCCAATTTATTCTTGGCTGGAAGGAGGGTGGTCTTCTGAATTTTAAAATGCAAGCCTCCCTTAACTGAAAATTCTGTCTACTCTTTCTCATCTCTTTGGCTTTTAATTCATTCTAATTAAACATGATGGACTCCAAGTATTTTGAAGTACCTGTTTAAACCTTTTTCTTCATTGGACAGTGACTACGACAAAGGTTCTCTCTCTTTAGGAAACGTGGGTCTGCTCCGGGTGGCCAGTGGAGATTACTCACCTGCTGTTCTAACACGCGTTATCCGGGATCCTCAAGTTAGAGGGACGGGGTGGATGATCTCTATTTTTAAAAGTGATCATTTTGAAGACAATGAAAGTGACGGAAATCTTCTATTTTTGTTGATTGATCTTTTAAGTAGCTGGAGACACACCGACAATTAAACATTTTTCTGACAGTCAAGTCCAAGAGGTAACTTACCAAGAGGAGGAAAACAGATCAGGATGTACCAAGGTCCGATTACTGAGAGACAGAGAAACCGTCCTCCTCCCCGCCTCTGCCCCACCCCAAGCCCAGCAGATGCTCACGTCAATACTAATACTAGTGCAGACTGCATTCCGAACTCACTGCATTTGGAGCCCAGCCTCGAGGCGCTGTGTCCTGGGTCCCTGGACACCTAGTCAAGGATAATGTGGGATTCCTTGCCACAAAAATCTGTCACTTGGTTTTGACATTTTAGAACAATACCAAAACCTGACTCTGTAAAAACAATGACTAGTTATTAACCACAACTGCCCTCAGATGCCTGGAGTCAACATTCCTTTAATTCCACAGCTCTAAAGATGCAGGCACAGGACCCGGGAGATGGTCAGCCTCGCTGGGCACATACACATTACTTATGCAAGATCATCTCATTGCATACTGACCACAGCAGGCCAATAAATCCCCCTTATGGGGATTTGATTTTCAGCTTCTGACCTTTGGATGAAAAACAAGTGAATCATTTCCTTCTGCTGGATTTACACCAGAGCTGATCTTAATAAAGTGATTCAGGAATGGTGAGAACGGAAAAGGACTCAGGAAGAACCTTCATGGGTGAAAAGAGGAAACAAGAAAGAAGTCAGATTGCTGTTGAGAACGACAGACAAACACGGGGCCCGGCTGACAGGCTTCGGGGGCGGGTGTGCCTGCCCCTCAGAGCCTCAGTCGACCGCTGAATAGCACCCACCTGAGAGCGGCATCTGTCCCGCGGTTACTCCTTCTGTGAAGTTGTTTTTTTTTAAATCCTGGGTTCGTTTATTTTTTAGAATGTTTGACTGTACCCTGAGGCATGTGGGACTGAAGTTCCCTAACGAGGGATCGAACCCACGACCCCTGCGTCGGAAGGCAGAGTCTTAACCACTGGACCCCTGGGGAAGTCCCCCTTCTGTGAAGTTTTATATTGTGAGAGAAGGCCACTGGGCTGGGGAAACAGAGAGCCTGCCGCCCTGCGGGAGCTGACATCACTCACTTGGTGCTGCTGAAGGAATCACGTGTGGCTGCGGCAACAGTAAAAATACTCTTTATTTGTGGTGGTTCAAGGCCGTGGGGTGGGGAGTGGGGGGCGCGTCCTTTGTTCCCGGAAGCACGGTGGGGACAGGCTTCCTGGGCTGCCTCAGGCCGTGTTCTGGACCACACACATTCCCAGGATTACAGCCCACGGCTTCCTCCACCAGGACAGGGTGTGCAGTGGCCCCGTCTCAGGCCTCGAGCTGGAAAGACGGGTGCCATCAGGCCCCATGGCCGTCATCACGGGGGTTGAGTTGGCCAAAAAGGGATCGATATAGCTCTGTCCTGCAAGACAAATGAAACAAACTGGTTAATGCATTGGTTTAACTTTTCAAGGTTAGAAAAGAACCCAGAAGCTGGGCAACACCCCAATCTGAGTCTTCAATTGAAAACACAGCTGCGTAATTAAAAATGCATCCCACAGCTCTTCTTCACAAACACAGAGGAGGGGAAGAACCTGGAAGCGGCCAAACAGCAGAATATGTAAATAGCCTGGCGTGGCTGGATACCCTGTCTCCAGGGAACCAGTTTTCTATAAGTTTGCCCTTTACAGACAGGCTCTTCAAGTAAGAAAACAAGATTGAATATTTTAATAGGATGTATGAGACTGCCACACGAGGAGGATTCAATCAGACATGGGATGTAGGGGATATAATTTAGTTTTCATATATTTTCCTGGACTTGGCAGTACTTGAAAAACAATGAAAATGACCCAGCAACAAGATTCCAATTACCAGCACATATGCAGCTGCTCAGGCACAGGGGCCCTTCCCCGAACCCCGCCCTTCCACTATCCTCCATCCAATAAGTAATTTGATTGGTTAATTTATTTCTAAATTTGGGTTTGCTGTTAAAAAAAAAAACAACAAAAAAACCCTAACATGCCAGGGTCTTGGGTCCTTGAAAATGAATAAATGATCTGTCACTTGTGTTTTTGCCGCCGCCCGGCAGGGTGGTCAAGGGCCCTGGGCCCCAGCGGCCCCAAAACTCTTCCCTGGGTGGAGGGCCGGGTCTCCCTGCAGAGACGTGAGGAGCCACGAGCCTCCAGGTGGGTCACACAACAGGGAGGAGGGGACCAAACCTGTACCCTCAGGGAAGGAGGGCTGGCACGGGGCAGAGGTCACAGACCAGTGAGTAAATGACCTTGGGAGAAAGCTATGCCCACTCTGTTTATGTTGTCAAAAGCCAAAACCTGCCATCCTTGACAGACTGGCTGGTAGAAGTGCTCTCATTACCTGAGGGTCATCATGAGCAAATCTGATTTTCAAAACAAAAGAGCAAAAAACTCCCCATGCTTCAGACAGCTATTACTGGTCCAGCCACATTTCAACACAAAATCTTACGAGTCTGTTTGAATTCACCCTGCTACAGTTTTGGGTACCAACAGCAAAGTGTTAGTCACTCAGTTATGTCCGACTCTTTGCGACCCCGAGAACTGCAGCCCACCAAGCTCCTCTGTCCATGGAATTCTCCAGGCAAGAATACTGGAGTGGGTAGCCGTCCCCTTCTCCAGGAGATCTTCCTGACCCGGACTGAACCCAAGTCGCCTGCATTGCAGGCAGATTCTTTACCATCACAGCCACCTGGGAAGCCCAACAGAGGTCCTCTAATTAGAAACCTCGGCAACAGAAATAGCATATTGAAACTTTTAAAACAGGGAAAAGTCTTAAAAAAAGAACCACTGAAGCAATGAATGTAAACTAACCGTGTCATGCTGGGGACCATGAGGCAGGCAGGGAAAGTGTGGCCAGAAAACAGGGGTCTCCCATGTTATTATAGGAATGTTACGGCAAGAACCTGCCGGTACCCTCAGCTGACCACGGTATCCCTGGGCCAACGACAAAGGCTGCGGCTCGCCCGGAGCCGCAGGGTCTCTCTTGTTCCTGAGCAACACACATCTGCCCGGCTTAGCCCCGCACGTGTGCTCAAGGGGGAAGGCGGCTTCGGACCGCATGCAAATGACAGGCAGGCAGCCTCCTCCCGGAGGCAGTGGCTTCTAAATCACTGGCTCCATCACACAGAAGACAGCCCTGCCCTGCCCACGCATGACTTGCTCACGCCATGGCCTGCCTACCTGCCAATAAGTGCAAGTCTCTCTGGCCATTTCCGCAAAGAAATTAAACGGTGTTAAGGGGAGGGTCGCCATGACAAAGAGGATGGTGTGGCTTTAAGGCTGTGGAGGCACATCGCCACGGAGCCCTTCACGATCACTCCTTCCAGCCTTGCCCGCGCCAGACCCATCATTACCACTGAGCAAATGCTTCCTTTCCACGCCGCGACATCAGTGAACTGATGGGGCTACGCAGCAGTCACTGCCCACAGCAGGGTTCACGTGTCAGGAGCGGAGAGGGAGATGCTGAAACCCGTGTTTTGATAGAACATCATTTCACACTCAGGTGGGCAAGGCCGACAAACATATGCAGCTGTTCATGGCAAGGCAACCTGGACAGCAGAGTGGTCTGGATTTTTAAAATATTTTTTACAGCAAAAAGAGAAAAAATACAAGTCAGGGATTATTCCCACCTGAGAATCCCCAAGCAATTTCAATTCCAAGTCTTCCTTCACCCACGACCACCAATCAGGGACTGTTTTCACCCTCAAAGTATCTCAGACACCCCTGCTGCTCCAGGCACCTTCATTTCAGAGCCTACCATCTCTCACCAAGAAGGTGGCGACAGACTTCTCAGTGACTTTTCTGTTCCCATCTCCTACCCATTGTCCACGACCCTCAGCCCCGACTCTAAAGGCTCTAGAGACGGACAAAGCTGACCCTCCTGGGGTCCAAGAGCATGATCAGGATGAAGACCCCCAAACTCCAGTGGCTCAGCTCAGCTTCCGGCCCTTCTTCCCTGCAGAGGTCCTGCCTGGGGCGGAGGTGGGAAAAACATGGCCATGAAGGTGGGGTCTGTGGTCTGGTCCTCAGCCTCTCTGCACCGCCCCTAACACAACTCTCCAAAATCCCGCAGCTCCTGCGCACATTTTTAAATTGACATACAAAATTTTTCCCGATAAATGTAATAGGCACAAAGGATATAATTATCAGAAAATTGTGCATACTACCTTTTAAAATAAAACTCTTGCATCCCGTTTGTAATACACCCCATGGAACCTATGTGCCATACTGATCTGATATCCATCACCGCTCATTTAAACAATACGTAAACAAACTCGTTAACTTGGAAATTTTACAGCATTCTTTTCTTCTTAAACTTGGATTTCCATTTGATTTTTCCCTATAGGTTTTTGTCTTAATATAATTGATTTATGCTTGAAAGTCTTTTATTGATTACTCTATGATACTTTTTAGCCACAAAAATAAGGATGCAAATTGATGCACTTTTTGAAATTTAAAAAGTTGAAACAAAAATATTTTAATTTCTTGGGACCATAAAGCTCTAAGTTAATTTTGAAAAATTATACTTCTGGACTGTGTTATCACTGTAATTATTATTAGGATACAACTGATATATATGATAACAATATAATAAAGTTTGGTATAATTTTGGTAAATTTTTAATATGTGTAAAATGTTACTGGAAATTATCTCTTAAGGATATGGATGAGGCTTCCCCCTCCATTCCCATTCCAGGGATGAATATTATTTATCGCTAGAATGAAAGGAGGTTCAGCAGCGATTCTATCCTACTTTTTAGCTTTTGTAGCCATCAGTGATGAGAAACCTTGCCATGAAAACAAGTAGATGTGGGAAAGGGAGAGTTTTGTTACAGCAATGACACTCCGTTCTTCTAATTCCTGCTGAATTAACCGCCATTTCCCCCTAATCTCAGAGTGATCTCCCACCAAAAATTACTTTTAATGATCTATCAGCTGACAACTCAATTAGGTTCTCCTGCAGTCCTGCTGAGAATAAAGACCTGGGAGCCACCTGCCCGTCAGGGCTCTGTTACCTGGTCCCGGGTCCCGGTGGGTCGCCATCCCTGCCCTGATATGTTGACTGCTCCTTTTGTGAGGTTCCCCGACTCCGGGGCAAGGAGGGGCTTCGTGTCCAGTGAGGACAACTGTGAAAGGCAAGGGAGGAGGGGAACCTGCAATTCCGCTTGGCCAGGACCACTGCAGGAAAGAGCTGGAAATTGATTCCTGCCAACTCCCTGAATCTCCTTTCCCAGGGGGAGATGTCTGCGTGGCACAGGAGGAAGACTGAGGTGGGGGTGGGGTGGGTTCTGAGCGGTGCCCCCAACCCAGGCGAGTGCTCAGCCCGGGGCCAGAGCTCGGGGGAGGGCAGAGCACCCGGAAGGAAACGGCACACGCGGGTACCCCCCAGAGCCAGGGAGCAAAGCCAGACACAACTGGGGAAGGAAAAGCCACGCTGGGCCAGAGGGCCAGCCCGCCGTCTGCTGCAGAGCCTGCCCCACCCGACCCCAGCATCTCTCCTAACCAGGATTTAGCCATGCAGAGAAGCTCAACTATCAATCCTTCAGGTTAACCTTGTCTCCATCCGATTCTCCAGGGTAAGCATGTAGTTTAATACTTGAGGTCCCCTTAAGGCTATGCATAATGAAGTTGGGTTTTTTTTTCCTTAATCATAATTCCTGCTCCCTACCACATTAAGAGTCCAGATTTGAATCACTGAGCTGCAATGCCTTCCTCCCTTTGTTACCCTGCCCCCCACACTCTCGGCCTCAATGGCCAGTGGGAACGTCCACTGTAGGAAATGTAGTAATGGGGGTATCATGCAGAATAACCCACAGAGTAATTAACAGGACTTGGACCTAAGGTAGAAGGTCGATAGCAGGGGCTCTTCCTTGAATTAAAATTTAACTTACCCTTTATTGCAACCTACAAAAGCAAGTAATGAGCACTAACATTTTTATTTCTTTTAAACTGTCATTTAGGCTGTAGAGGGGATAATTACCTATCTCTAGTGTAGTAAGGTTTTATAACCCTTAGTGAGGCATTTTCTAATTTAATATTTTTACTATATTATCATAAAACCTGTTTCTAGAAAAAAATGATCATGGATTAGCAGCCATTTTCCATAAAGACAGAATGTGTGTGTGTGTGTGTGTATGTGTGTGTACTAGGACTCAGCTTATTTATTATGTGATGTGAAGAGACCCAAGTGTGCCCAGTCAAGCTGGCTGTGAGATGCTATCCCTTGAGTGGCGGGCAAGGCTCAAAGGGGCCCTAAATGAAATGGGGGTGGACGTGTGTCAAGGTGCAGCCCAGCCGCACTCCTCACCGACTGCGGCACAGCCCGGGACAGAGGCGCACCTGAGCCCACAGAGGTCTGGGCGGGGGTGCGGTCAGTGAGGCCAGGAGCTCGC